TACTGTTTTGGATTTGGTACCCCCACCTCCCCCCATCATGGTTTAACAGGTAGCGGTTAGGATAAGAGTTGAAAGGTCAGACCACGTGTTCCAAATGTCTGCTTCTGGTTTAGAGTCTATATAGAGCTCAATATGTTTCCCAGGGTCTAACACTGACCACCCAGAAAGCCTTCAGTCCTGGACTGAAAAACTATCTTTATGGAAATGAGAAATCACACTTCTGAAGTTTGACTTTGAAATAAACGAATGTTACTTGAACTCTGTATTAGTCTGTTTTCACACTGCTGATAAAGACATACCCAAGACTGGGTAATTTATAAAAAAAAAAGAGGTTAATGGACTCACAGTTCCACATGACTGGAGAGGCCTCACAATAATGGCGGGAGGCGGAAGGCAGGTCTTACGTGGTGGCAAGCAAGAGAGAATGAGAGCCAAGCTAAAGGGGAAGCCCCATATGAAATCATCAGCTCTCCTGAGAGTTATTCACTACCATGACAACAGTATGGAAAAAACTACCCCATGATTCAATTATCTTCCACCAGGTCCTTCTCACCACACGTGGGCATTATTCGAGCTTACCGTTCAAGATGAGATTTGGATAGGGACACAGCCAAGCCATAGCAAACCCTGTTGCTTATTGGCATTGAGAATCCCAGGCCATGCCTACGCCTCTTCCCAACATGTAAGGGTTTCCACTTTCATTGAAGAATGGGGAGCCAGACCTAAGCCAAAGTCAGAGTATTTCTGAGGAGAGAGCTTACAGGACAAGCATTAGGCCTTAGATATTTTCATGGAGTGGCCAGCTCCCTCCTTGTCATGGGGTGGGTGGGCGGGGCAGGCAGAGGACTTCATTTCAGGAGCTGAGAAGGCTGGGTTGTCTGCTCACATCACATGAGACTCGACTCCCCCTAACTGCTGCCTTCCCAATGGTCTCTGCCTAAAGCTGGATGGTATTTGAAAAAGGCCTCAGGTGTATTTGTGGGAAGGGGGAGGAGGATGAACTGTCATTATCCCTTCCCTGGGGCTGAATGGCCCAGCTTTCTGAGGAGCCCTGAGTAACACAAACTCCCATCTTTGCTTTCTCTTTCTGTAGGTGTAGGAATGAAGCTAACTGACGTTGGCATAGCAACGCTGGCTAAAGGGTGAGTAGGGAAAAATGGAGTGTGCATCATTTAACACTGGGCTTACGGACACCTTCCAGGCAGACACTGTCAGGTTGAGGTGGGCAAAATGAATTGCTTGTCCTAACCACGGATGACACATGTTCTTGGGATGAATTCATTTCATTTCTCTCACTTACATAAAATATTTACAGACTTTGTTCTCGCAGGGAAGCACATTTGTTTCTTAACTTTGAAACAAACGAGAACTCTTGCAAACACATTGCAAGATTAATTACTAACACAAGTACCGTGGGGAGAAAATGCTGGCATTATTTGGATGCCTTTTAACTGGGAATATTCCATTCTCCTACATTTAATATCTTCACTATCAAAAGCTTCTTTGAAAATATATTTTTGTAATTGAATGCAGTGAATTCAATTTGTATATTTTAAATTCATTTTTCTCCAAAAAGTACTTTAGGCAGCTAGGAGGAAATGTCTCTGGCAGAGCTGTGATTAGTTACATGTTGATGACGGTTTTAGTTTTCTAATATAGAGTGGTGCTTTGCTTAGTGGGAGGCCCACACAGATGATGCTATGATAACGTTTTACCAGGGCTTTTTTTTTTTTTTTGAGATGGAGTTTTGCTCTTGTTGCCCAAGCTGGAGTGCAATGGTGCGATGGTCACTCACTGTGACCTCTCCACCTCTCGGGTTCAAGTGATTCTCCTGCCTCATCCTCCTGAGTAGCTAGGATTACAGGTGTCCACCACCATGCTCGGCTAATTTTTTAAAATATTTTTAGTAGCGATGGGGTTTTGCCATGTTGGCCAGGCTGGTATCGAACTCAAGTCATCTACTTGCCTCAGCCTCCCAAAGTGCTGGGATTACCAGCGTGAGCCACCGCACCTGGCCAGGGCACCTTTTTAACAAGCTGCCCCTTCCTACTTCCCTACTTGACTGCCACTGAGGAGAAAGCCAGCTGTTTGTGGTGCTTGGTGAAGATGCAATTCCGCGTTGGAACCACCATCACCTTTGCCCGCTCCTGCCCTTCCTGCTTACTAAGACCGTCTGTGAGGCGGAGGAAGAGCGCTCGTGACTTTTGGAGTGGATGGCTTCTATCTTAAAATGTAGGTTTTATTAGCATGAGATATCATAAGGCCACAGATGAGGAGACAGTTGCCACTGAAAAGCTAGTGTGTTACAGTGCCCAAGAGGGAGGTACCACGCCACCAGGGGCCATGCTGGGAAGCACCAGGGTTGATTGGGAGGCAGAGGAAGTGAGGCGAAAATGCAGGCAAGAATATTATGGTTCATTCAGGAAGGAATAGGTGAGGGAGGACAAATGGGCCTAGGATTGGCTTATTTGACATTTTTCAGCAGCCTCTGGGACATAGGGCTGCCCCTCGGTGTCTGGTACCTACACTGGGGTAATGAGGGCAGGTGGGTAGTGGTTCCAGTGTGAGAGTCCAGAGGGGAGGTATTGGTATTGGGGGTGTGGGCGCCAGATTGGTTGGTTTGCATATGAAAGGCTCTCTGGAAGGTGATCATTTACTATCTCGAGGAATATGGTAGCCCCAAGATGTCAAAGCATCAGAAACAGAAAATAAAGTAGTGGGATGAATCCGGCTTACTTTCCCAAGGCTGGGAACAACTTATCCATGCCAGCTTTCTGGTTACTTCAGACCATCAGTACCAGCCACGATCCAACAAATATGCTAATTTTCAGCTTCAGTAAAGGACAGAGAGGAGTAGAGGGAGATGAAACAGTAGGAAAGGGATCACTCTTTCTTTTAACCTCCAGGTGGGTACGTCTGATTCATGAAGTGCTCGCTGATTGCACAAAGCTTCCAGTTGGGTTTTAGAACCAGGATGAGGTTTGGACCTTTTCCCTGGGGTGGCTCAGTGATAATGAAGTTTTAGGTTGGGACTGTCTCCAAGCTTCTCCCAGTGCTGGCTGGAGCCCTGGCTGGCATATGCTTCAGGGAACTGGGAGTGTCCTTGGGGTTGTGAAGAGAGCGTGTTAGGAGGGGTTATGATGTCATGGGGAGGAAGGAACAGGGGATTTAGAGTAAGACCCAGTTCAAACCCTGCTGCTGCTGCTTCCGTTTCTCCAGATGGTAGCCTTTCTTCTTGGCATCATAGGAATTTGCCGAGCCTACCTGATGAGGGGGATCAACGTCTATCCCAGTTTCTGTGACAGTACCATTTAATGCCTGATGTCCTCGCACCTCATACACTTTAGCATTTATCCTGAACAAGTGTCCCCATTTAGAAGATAAATTATATGGTGCCTTATTGATGGAGGCTTCTGGACCCCAGAAGGATTCCAAATGGAGCCTTTCTTTCCAGGCTCCACGTGTGCTGCAGAACTCTGCAGATGCCACTATCAGCCAGCCTTAGCTTGAATCCTGGCTTCTCGTCATACCAGCTGTGTGACTCTGGGCATGTGACTAAAGTTCTTAAAGCCAGTGATGTACAGCATGGGGACACTCCAGCTTGCCCTGAGTATTCCCCGGTTAATCTACACCTAGCCCCTGAAACTGGAAGTAAGCTGGATAAATATTAGCTTTCTTTCCCTCTCCATGTCTTAGCCTGACACCAGAGTAGGCAAATTTCATTCTGTTACTTAGAACAACTCTCTATCAAAACAAAGAAGAAAGCTCCCCAAGAAGTTTCAGAAATGAAGATAGTTGTGATTGTTTAAGACATATTTTAAAAGCAAGTCAACAGCTTCCAGGAACCCAGACCAACTGAGAGCTTCAAATGGCACATTTTTTCCCCCTCCTGATTTAAAGAGAAATCCAATCCTTTGGTTTTGTTCTCAGTTTTAATGTGACTTATCTGGCCTGGGACAGCTGCCCAAGACCCATTAGAAGTGCTGATGACTGGAGCCCAGTGCAAAATGCTGTCTATAAAGTATTACTTACTGCCTTCCCACCCAAGGAGAGGTCAGGGAGCAGGAGCCGGGAGAGGAGGAAATTCCAAAGTGTTCAAGAGCTTTGGCAGATGTATTAGATCTTCTTGTTCTTTGTTTTTTTTTTTTTTAACTTTTCTTTAAACTTTACCTTTTAAGCCATGTTTTTTTTTTTTTCCCCAAAAGAAATAAATATATCTTAGAAACACAGTTTGAAAAACTGATGAAAGGTGAAAACTTCTCCAAGTAAGGGGTAGTTGAGAGGCCTCTGTAGAGTCTCCTGGGAACCCCTCTGGAGTGAAAACCAGTGATCAAGTCCAACCTCCTCATTTCACAGGTGGGAAGGAGGCATGGGGCATGGGGCAAGGTGCTTGCAGGGAGGAGTCAAGATGTGTTTCCTGCTGGAAGTCAGTACCCGGAAGTGAAGGGCAGATCCTCAATGCTGGGAGGCGAGGCACAATTGAAAAAGATCTTCAGTGAATGTCAAAGCTGCAAAAGGGAGCTAAACCATGGGAACAGACTTGGAAAGGGCTCAAGCTCAAGGGCACTTTGCAGACAGGGAAGTCCAGGTGGAAGGCAAATGAGCAGGGGGAGGAAAGGGAGGTGAACATTGCAGACTGCAGAGAGCAGGAGAGAGGATGGAGGAATAAGAGTAGATCGGGCAAGTTCTCTTGATTCTTAGCGAGCACCTGTGCATGAACTTAGTTCATTCACAATGCAAAGGGAGAGTTGTGAGTTCTACGGGGGGCTGATACCTGGCAGGGCTTGGCTGGGGGAATAGCACCATCATAAGAAGCAGTGCTACGTGCATCATTGAAATACAATGGTCCCAAATGTCTCAATCAGGACCATCGATTTGGCTACTGACACCCCAGTCATGCAACCTGTTTTGCTCTCTTGTTTAATGAAGTCAAAGGTTATGATCCTATTTTGTGAGTAGTTACTCTAATGTCATGAAATAAAATAGAGAATTGTCATGACTTACTTTAATTCGACTTTACTTCATTGTGTGTGCCTTACAACAGGAGAGTCATATTTCTCTTGAGAGCCAGAGATATGAATGTGTCTGGAAACACATCCCCTGTACCTCCGCCCCCTCAATCTTTTGGCAAATGTTGAGTACAAAAATTTCAGGTTACAAAGTATGGCAAGTAAGATTGTTTCATCTTCTAGACAGACCAAGATACTAACCAGACCATTGAACCAATTTCTGATTGGAAATTACACAAGGAAAAAAATGCCTAATCTTATAACTAGAGATTTGGTGACATAACCTAACCAACTGCAGACCGATCTGAAGCCACTCGAACAGTGGAGCCACCCACAGTCACGGTTCTCTCCAGCCAGTGGGGCAGTTCCTGGGGGAGGTGAGGAAATTGCAATTCAGCCACCAGAGGGCACCAGGACCAATACTTTGCCCCTTGTAGTCTCCTCCGAAAAGCCAATTTCCTGTTGCCAGATTGAAATAAAACAAAGAGAAGTACCATTAGCAGATGTCTTCCATGGCAGTAAGCATTGGACCAAAATAAGATTAATATGGACAGCCATAAAGGACACCCTCAGAGTGGCCGCCAGCCAGCCTTGCGTATTTCCACTCTCAGAAGAAGGAAAGAAGAGGCTTCAGGATGTGTGGCATGTGTCAGGCGTCCCTGCCATGGACCCGGAGACCCTGGACAGAAGCCTGGATGATTTGTTCGCGTAGCAGGAGGATAGTTGCCTTGAGAAAGCAGGCTCCCCTGGCATCTGCCTGCCTAGTTCTGGTCCCGGCCGTGAAAAGGAGAAAAGATCCAAATAGACTCCCATATTTGGCCAAGCTGAGTTCCAGAAGAAAGGATTGGAACACAAGCAGGCGGAGGGGACGGCACCCACCTGGGCCACCTGGGATGCTCTTCCCAGTCACAAGGCTGTGACGCTGCCGTACCTGGAGAGGAAGGGCCAAAAGCAACTTGGAGGTGGGAAGGAACAATCTAACCCGAAGAAACACGCCCCGAGAATAGGCTTATGTGCATGAGTGGTGACTCCAGGCAGACCATTTAAAGCAATGCGTGAGTCTACCAGGAGAGGAGACAAAGGGTCATTGGAACAGAATTCCTGACGCCTTTTATGTGTCATGCATCAGGGCTGCATCTCTGTAGAACACCAAGCATTTCAGCTGATTCCCCAATGCCAGGCGTCAGCAAAATCAGTCTCACAGGCCTGCCGGCTGGAGAAGACAATTTTATGCCCCAGAGAGCCCCTGTCCCTGCCTGCCACATGGTCACCTGTCCTGGAAGGCAGCCTGCATCCCGCCTGCCTCGGGTCAGGCCATTCTGTAGCAGAATTGGCTGGCTCGCTGGCTGATTTATTCAGCCAGTCTTTGCCATTAAGGAAGTCTGGAGGCTGAAGGGAAGTCTGAAGGGAGCAGTGGTCATTTTCACAGTTTTTGGCAAGGCAGACACAACTATAGCCGTGCTTTCAGTGTGTGTGGGAGTCTCCCAGGCCCAACAGAGCCAGCCAGGACACGCCCCCTCCGTGGAGGGGCTAGCTCAGCCCCATCCTGGCCTTTGCCCAGAAGTCTTACAAAGGACCGTTCTGATGAAGTGTCTGGAATTGGGAGCCATGGGTTCCTCTCACTCCTGACTCTATTCCCTAGTTGTCCCCCTGCATAGTCCATTTCCAGGACCTGAGGACTCAGGGACAGGCGTCACATTGCTTGTCATTCAGCTTCAGAGTCTGAACAGAGGGAATGTCTAGAGAAGCCTGGTAGGTTGGAGTTTGTCCCTGCAGGACAGGCTGGTGGCCGGTAGGAGGGAGGCAGAGGCCCGAGGAAGGTACAGGGATGGCCCAGAGGGTCAGGAGTGACAGAGCCTGAGTGGACAGGTCGGGGTGTAGACCAGAAAACAGTTATCAGTGCCTTCAGGAAGGTCTAAGCCAATGCAGTGTCACGACGTGGGAGCCTGGCGACAGATCAGAGAGGGAATGTGCTGCCAAGATGCTAGCAACTCAGCAAGTTTGTCAACAAAAGCAAGGAAAAGTCTAGAAGGTTGCTAGAAGAGGAGGTGTGGGGGATGTGTGTGTGTGTGCTGTGTCTGTGCGTGTCTTTGTGCATATGTGTCTGCATTTTTCTGTCTTTGTGTGTCTGCCCGTGTCTGTATGTCTGTGTCTGTATCTCTGTGTCTTGTGTCTTTGTGTGTCTGCCTGTGTATGTCTGTGTGTATTTACATATGTCTGTATGTTTGTGTGTATCTCTGTGTCTTGTGTCTTTGTGTGTCTGCATGTGTCTGTATTTACATGTCTGTGCCTGTGTCTTTGTCTTTGTGTGTCTGCCTGTTTGTGTCTGTGTGTCTGTGTCTTCCTCTGTGTGTGTGTGTGTGTGTGTGCACGTGCACGCACGCGCATGTCTAAAGACACCTTGCCTGTTTGAAGGCAGAGGGGAAGGAGCCTATGGGAAGAGTGCGGGACTGACTGTGGAGTGATGCTCCAGAATGGTGAGCAGCCCCATGAGGATTCAGAGCTTGTCAATATGGAAGGCCCTGCGGCCCTCTGTGTGACTCGTAGCACACTGGAAATGTGGCTTTGCCTCCACTCACCCTCACCTCCACCCGGGGCATCAGCCCAGCTGCTCCTCCGAATGGTGAATTCTCAAACAGCCTGTACATAGTGGGAATGCTGACGCACTTCTCCCTCGCCTCAACCGCCCGCCCTGTGGCCCTGCAGCAGCTCCTGTACCTGCCCCCGGTTCTCCTTGCCCCTGTACCTAGATAGGACATTGCCGATTTATCAAGATGGGATCTGCAACAGAGATAGAGTTTAATTCACATAGAGCTGGCTGTATGGGAGACTGGAGTTTTATTACTACTCAAATCAGTCTCCCTGGAAATTTGGGGATTGGGGTTGGGAAGTGGGGGTAGTGCTGATTGGTCAGGTTGGAGATGAAATCGTCAGGAGTGGAAGCTGTCCTCCTGCGCTGAGTCAGATCCTGGGTGGGGGCCACAAGACAACATGTGCCAGTTTATTGATCTGGGTGGCACCAATTGAGCCATTGAGTGCAGGGTCTGAAAAACATCTCAAGCACCAATCTTAGGTTTTACAATAGTGACGTCATCCCTAGGAGCAACTGGGGAGGTTTAGAACCTTGTGGGCTCCTAAACCATAATTTCTTCTTCTCTCTCTTTTCTTTTTCTTTCTTTCTTTCTTTTTTTTTTTTTTTGAGACCATCTCTCTCTCTCTTTCTATTGCCCAGGCTAGTGCAGTGGTGCAATCTTGGCTCACTGCAACCTCCACCTCCTGGGTTCAAGCGATTCTCCTGCCTCAGCCTCCCAAGTAGCTGCGATTACAGGCACACGCCACCATGCCTGGGTAGTTTGTTTGTAATTTTTAGTAGAGATGGGTCTTCAGATTCCTGAAAGAGGTCTTCCCAGGGGCTGCCTAGAAGTCATGCTCCTTTGACACAGCTCAGCTTTTTCCATTCCAGAGGTGGAGCCCATTGGACAGGGGCTCTCTTTTCACCTGGCATCAACACCTGCAGGCAAGGCAGAGCTTCGGGATGAAGTGGTGCCCTTTCTGGAAGGTCACGGTGTGAAGTAGTTATTTTTCTCTGCAGAGACCAGATGTTGTCTGAATGTTAAAATGCCCTGATGCAGTCCTGATGCAAATGACCAGGACTTGTTTCCAACATGCTCAGTCGGGGAAGCTGCCCCTGCCCACGCGTGACAATCCCAGTTTGAGGAGCTCAGGAGTTGGTGTGAGGTGACTGAATCCCACCCGCAGTGGCAGGTGGGATTAAGCCATCCCTCCTGTCTGATGGAACAGGCCCAGCTGTCCCCGTGTTCCCACCAGGGAGTGAATGCTCAGGCATGGAGGAAATGCTGACAAGCTGACATTTCAGCCTTTTGGGGAGCTCCTGCAGAGGAAGATAGAGATGTAAAGACGATACCATTCGCAGTTGAATGTTTCCCACTCTGCCAGATCCAACTCCTTGCTTTGGTTGACCTTTCCTTCAATGAGAAAGCCTGGCTTTTAGAAACCAAGTCATTTTTCACAAGGCTCCCAGGGCAGAGCAGTTCCCCTGACAGGAGGAGGAGAGGCAGCTGGATTTCTAACAATCATGGCAGGGTGGAGCCAGGCTGCCACTTTAGCTTCAGAGAGGAAGGAAACCTTTCATGCCCTTAAGATCTTAAAACCCAGCTTGGGTTGCATAGGGAAAAAATTCTCTCCATTCAGTCCAGGTGTGTTGACATTTATAGTTTCTGTTAGCCAATGAAGGAGGCCTGATTTCTTGAATCATGTCAGCTACAGAATCCACATCACGCCAGCATTACAGACTTCTTTTTGTCGGTTTGCCTTTGGCCCTATGAAGCACCGATGGCCAGCACTCCCTCACACCCAGCAGGTGCAATCTGTGCCTTCCACACTCGGAAGGGCCCTGTGTTTGCTTTAATGCTCTGTGCTTGTTGTCTTGAATTTCTTAATACTTCTTGAACAAGGAGTCCTGTTTTTGTTTTGTACTGGGCCCTGCAAATTCTGTCACTGGTCCTGAATGTCAGGCACCCTTTGCTCCTACCCTTTACCTGGAAAAATCCCTCAGTTTTGACTCTCAGCTTTCAAATCCCTTCCACAGGAAGCCCCCATCAGTTGCACCAGTTATCATGTTGCTAATCATAACAACAGGATCAACCTCAGTTGAATCTTTGCTGTGTTATGCTCTGAGCTAGGTGGTTTATATGGATTTTTCTCATTTCATCTTCTCAACAACCCTTTGGGCATTAGTTATTGACACTTTGGAGATGAGGAAACTGACAGAAACAGCCCACCAATTACTATCCAGCCAGCAGTGCTTCCCCTGCATCATATTCATCATATTTCATTGTAATGATTTGGTATCTGTCTCCTTCACTGGACAACATGGGTCAAGGTCTTGCGTGTTCTCTGTTGAATCTGTAGCCTCAAGCACAGTGCTTGGCTAGGTGCGCTCTAGAGAAGGGAGGGAGGAAAGTTGCTGTCCCTTTCTCCCATGTGACTATATTTCAAAGGACTGATACAGATCAACACAAGAATAGACAAATAAAACCACATTCTGAACAACCACAAAAACAAAAGCATCCCACTCTCTATTCAATCATTCTCTATTTGTTGAGTTTCTGCCATTTACGAAGCCCTAGATTAGGTGTTGGGGTACGGTGGTTAGTGGAGAGTGTTGACCTCTGCCATCATGGAATTTACAGTGAGTGAAGAGACAGAAATTAACCATCTCATCAACTCACAGATGTCAGACTGTGTGTGCGTGACCATGCCACAAACAGAAGGTGCACAGTCCAGGAGAGGCTATGACAGGGGGATGTGACTTGGTAGGAAAGGTCAAATGAGCTGAGAATTTAAAGTGAGCAGGGGCTGGGCATGGTGTCTCATGTTTGTAATCCCAGCACTTTGTAAGGCTGAGGCGGGCAGATCACCTAAGGTCAAGAGTTCGA